GTCGCGGCGGCGGGTGCCGGTGGTGGACGTGCAGAGCGACAACTTCGCGGAGCTGTGGCCCTCCATGGTGCTGGCGCTGCGCACCGCCACCTTCGTCGCCGTGGACACGGTGAGGCGGGGCGGGGGGTGGCGGTGACTGAGCGAGCGATCGAGCGGTGGCGGGACCGGGCCGGGCCGGGCGCGCTCACCGGTGTCTCCCCGCAGGAGCTGAGCGGTCTGGGCGCCAGGAAGTCGCTGCTGAACCCGTGAGTGCCCCGGTGGGGCGGGGGGCGCGTCGCTCAGCCGGACTGAGCGGCTGCGGGGGCTCCGAGGCGCGCGTCCCGCCGGTACCGGTTGCCCCGTGTGGGGTTTGGCCCTCGGGGGGCGGCCGGTGGGACGGGGCAGGGGCGGAAGCCGTCAGCTCCCGTTCTCCCGCCGGCCAGGTGCATCGAAGAGCGGTACAAGGCCGTCTGCAACGCGGCCAGGACCCGCTCCGTCCTCTCCCTCGGCGTGGCCTGTTTCAAGCGGCTCCCGGAGAAGGTGGGTTCCCGGGGGATATGACCGGGACGCCGCGGGGAGAGAGGACTCGGTGCTCCACCCCGTGCTCCCTGGGGTTGCCCCGGGGTGTTTCGGCAGCTCCCCTCCCTGCATGGCTTTGCCCGCTCTCCCCCTGCAGTCGGAGCACACCTACTTCTGCCAGATCTACAACCTGACGCTGCTCTGCACCGAGGACTACATCGTGGAGCCCCAGTCGGTGCAGTTCCTGGTGCAGCACGGCTTTGACTTCAACAAGCAGTACTCCCAGGGCATCCCCTACCACAAGGGCAACGACAAGGTACTCAATGACTCTCCTCTCGAGCTCGCTCTGCCCCAGGCTCCTGGGGAGGTTGTTGGTTTCCCCTGGTCCCGGCACCTCCCTCAGTGGCTGCTGACCAAAGATGGGCCCACAATGGGTTCTTGAGCGCAGCATTATCCCTTTCGCATCCCTGCTGGTTTATATCCAGCCTGGTGTTTGTTGCGGTTACTTTTCCAAGGATTTGGGCAGCTGTTTGTGTGGAGCAAGTCAGAGCTGTGGGCAGTGCGGGCTTCAAGGACTTCCTGGGGCAATGGTGAGTCAAGGCACCAAGGCTCATCGACTAATCCTCCTTCTTGCAGGGCAACGAGAGCCAGAGGCAGAGCGTTCGGACTTTTTTTCTGGAGCTCATACGAGCGAAGAAGCCCCTCGTTCTCCATAACGGCCTGATCGACCTGGTCTTCCTCTACCAGTGCTTCTATGCCCACCTCCCAGACAACCTCGGCACCTTCACCGCTGACCTCTCGGAAATGTTTCCAGCGGGAATATACGACACCAAATACGCTTCAGAGTTTGAGACTCGCTTTGTAGCGTCCTACCTGGAGTATGCTTACAAGAAGTGGTGAGCGGCGCTCCGCGATTTAAAGTTTATGGGAGAGAAGGCAAAGGGAGTGTTTCATTTGTTTGCTTTTCCAGGCAAGGGGGTTGGGTCTTCATATTACCCCAGTGAGTAAAGAAAGGTGCTTTTCTCATTTTTAGGACAGCTGCTGAGTGCATAGAAGTGCATTTTGTAACATGCCTTATCTGTTCGGTGGGCAGCTGCTGCAAGAGGATTTAATCTTCCCCTGGCAGCAGTTTTGACCACAGAGTGACCTGACCTCACTGAAAAATTATCCATTCGATCTCTCCTGACGCTGCCCAGCTCTGTCACACGTCCTGCACGTGACGCTCACGTGCAGCCAGCTACAACTCCCATCACTTTCCTTCCCCACAAAGGTTGTGCTCTCGCTCCAGGGCATCCCATCTTGCTTCCTGCCCCCAGCTCCTTGTGGATATCCTTGTGGATATCTTCCAGGCAGACACGTGTTAGAAGCAGAGATGTCTGTCCGCTTCACGTGTCAGTCTGGCCCCTGGTTCTGCAGTCCCCACACAACCTAAACAAGCCCCTGGCAGTGCCAGAGCTCGTTGAATCTCCATTAAACTGAAGTCGTGCTCTGTGCAGAGGAGAAATGGTATTTTTAGTGACTGTTTTATGTCAGGAAATGCCATTTTGACAGGACTGAAAACATTCAGGATGGCTGTTCTCAAACATGAGAATGCTTTGTTTTGACAAGATAAAAATACTTTTTAAATTGACTTCTTAAGTGTTTTAACCCAGAATTCTAGTTACATGGAGCCTTCCAAAGGTTTTTGGCCTTTTAGCCAGCTCTTGGGAAAACCAGTGCTTTTCTCATGAGAGAGAAAACTTTGTTTCCTTGTTGCCTGCCTCGCCCTGGTTCAACCTGTCTGGGTGGTGGCCGGTGGATGCTCTATGTGATACCTCATTTTGGGACATTTTTTCTTTGTCTGTTAATATTATGAACACTAACACACATCATAGTGCCCTTAATATTTAAAAATCAAACTGTGCTTCACCAGAGACACTGTTGTCCCTGCCTCTGTGTCAGCATAAGAGAAACCAACCTTTAAATCAGCATCTCCTAAAGCTGTTCTCCCAGGATGGAGTTTCTCTCCAGCAGGCTGTCGAGCTGGGGCTGGAGATAAAAGAGCTGGACACTAGTGGAGTTGGGACCTGGTGGAGAGCACCAGCTCCACGCCACGGTACCTTCAGCGAGTTCACCCCAGTATCTGTGTGCCCTTGTGTGTTCCAGCAAGCGGGAGAACTGCAAGCTGAAGGACTCCAACGGGCAGCACCTCACCGTTGAGTTCTGCAACTACCCGGCCAACGTGTCCCGTTACATCGACTATGGCCACTGCTCTCTGGAAGAAGAAAGCCCCAGCGTGGGAGAGGGAAATAAGGTGCCCGTCTGTGAGAAATTTTCGGTGAGTAACATGAACCCCTCCTTCCTTCCTGGCTCCATGGAAAGAGACACATGTGGCCAGAGCAGGAGGTGGGAGGAGAGCACCTGGAGCTCCCCCTTGATTGCTTCACAGCACAAGGAAGACTGTCAGGCTCCAGGTGGCTCCATGACGGAAAGGGCAGCAGCATGCTCTGTTCAGAGGTGGTGAATTCCACGGGCTACATGAGACACAGAGATTCAGAAGGAGATTATACAGTGGGATGGTGTGAGTTGCAGTGCCTATTGCTGTCTTGGGAGGGCTGTAAGTTCTAAATATGTTTGGCTTGTCCTCTGAGCAAGAAATGCTGCCTCTTCCCTCTCCCATATGTTGATAAGATATAAGAAAAAATACTACCTGTCTGCAGCTCCTGGCACCGTAGCACAGTGTGATCCACAGCATCGAGTCCTGGGGCTGCTACAGCAGTAAACAGAGAGCCCACCTGATCAGGTTCAGCCCATCTGATGGGTTCAGAAGCTTCAGGAAGAAAAGGAGCTCTTCCAGATGTTGCACGTTACTGTTGCAGAACAACAGAGGCTGGGGAAACCTCTGGATGTTTCTCATCCAACCACCAATTCAATATTGCTCAGAGAATTTTGAAAATCTCTAAGGACAGAGATTACAAAACCTCTCCAGACCTCTGTTCCAGTGCTTGACCACTCCTTGTGAAACATGCCTTCCTGTGTACCTAGTCAGAATTTCCCCTGGCTTTCCCAGTCACATCACCTTTCCCAGTGCTCCCCAGAGAAAAGTTCAGCTCCATCTTCTCTCTAACCTCTGCTTTAGCACCTACATATCCCCATCCCCTCAGCCTCGTCTTCTCCAGGTGGAACAAACCCACCTCCCCTGGCCTCTTTCTCCTCATACACTGTGTGCTACACCTTGACAGCTCCCTGCTGCACTCGCTGCAGTTTGTTGATGTCTATCTTGTGTGTTGTGGGGCTGTAGCTGGACACAGTGCTCCCGATACAGCCTCACCCACCCTCAGCAGAGGGAAGTAATTAGCTCTGCTCTGCGTTATGGGGATGAGCTGCTCTGAGCAGGAGGCTGGTGGCTACATGCTTCTCTCTTTGTCCCTTAGGCCTACGGCTGGTGTCCGAAAGGGGTGTCGTGTCCACAGTCTCATAACATTGACCTCATAATTGATGAGGACGACAAGCTTTGGGAGGAGAAGCGGAAGAAACGGAAGCACAAATGGAAGCGTCGGAAGAACACGGAAGAGGCTGCGAAGGCGTTTGAGCAGGAGAGCTCAGGGAAAGAAACGGAGGTAGCTCAGAACGGGGAGGAGGGACCGCCACGGAAACAGAGCTGCTACGAGCCTGCAGCTGCCTCGGAGCTGGCAGAGATGACACCCAGCACTGAGGGCAGGCTGCTGGAGGAGAACTCCACAGACATGGAAGCAGAGGTCAACTCAGACACCAGCACACAACGGGAAGGAGCTGCTGCCCAGGTGGCAGCTGCTGTGAGCCCCTCTGCCAAGGGACATGCCAATGACAGTCACCAAGTGGAGGGGAAGTCAGAGGTTCCTGCTGGGGTGGGCTCAGTCCATCCCCCAGACATCCCTGAGACTGAAGCAGCATGTGCTGCAGCAAAGGAAAAGGAAAGCCATGGTCCACCCTCACAGGGGGGCACACACCGGGCTGGCTTTGATGCGTTCATGACTGGTTACATCATGGCTTACGTCTGGATGCTCAAGAAAGGGAAAAACACGGACCCTGGGGAAGGGCCCTGGTTGCCCGAGTGTCACAACAAACTGTACCTCAGCGGGAAATCGGTGCCGCTTCAAATAGTGAAGAGCTTGTTTTCCAAGTCTTCCAAAGCTCACAGCCAGAAGATGAAGCTGGCCTGGGCCAGTGCATAGAGCTAGAGGACTCCTCACTGAACCGGACCTTTTATCCCCTCAAGTTTTGAAGTTCTTCATTCCATCAAGAACTGACCAGAAGGGGAGCAAGTTTCTTACCCTTGTGTTTGTTTTAACTTCTGACCCATTAAATTGCTCTCAGTTGGAGTTCCCCCTCTTGTTCCTTAGTGGAATTCTGGCTGTGAAGGCAGGGGAGAGGCTGGAGGAGAGGGAAGAAAAGTGCACCTCTCCAGCAGCACCCAGGGCTGCAAGTCCCAGTTCAGTGCTCTGCACTCAAAGTGGGTTTTGAAAAAACAAGCCAGTATTAATGTCATCCATAACTCAAGTAAGCATTTGAGCCAGCTTTTTTAACCTAGAATTGCCCTCTTAATCACAAGACTCAGGCCTTGATTTTATTTTTATTTTGAAAGCAAGTTGGGAAAGTTTACAAAACCTGACCAAGAAAAAAATTACGAAAATATTTAACTGGATTCATCTTTGGTTACTTCTTATTGCAGTTCCAATAAAACATACACCATTTCTATAAGTTCAAAAAAAGTCAGAAGGTCAATCAACATAAAAACAAGACGTGCTTTCTTTACATATTCATAAATATCCACAATATTAGAAAAGTTGTTTTGCAAAGATTTCTTTTTTTTCTGGCAGTGTTAACTTACTATTATACACAAGCTACAAACTTCTTCCTAAGCCTTTAATTACAAGTTGAGCTATTTACAGACTGCAAAATATTAAGACGTAAAACTCCTTCATAAATACGAAAATAGATCATCTCGCAAAGATCTTTATACTTAATCAAATATCTGGCTGCCCCTCCTCCCTCCCCCCATCAAAAAAAAAAAAAAAGGTTATTTGTTTTGCATAGAAATGTAGTGACATGCAATATAAACAATAGCATTAAGTGCAAACAGGAATTATTCAAGTGTCTTTAGTTGTACTGGCAAAAAATACCAATGTTCTGTTACACGTAATACATCAACTCAATGCCTCTCCAGCAAGGTTTAAGTCTAGGATAGCCCCTTGCCTGCCCTGCTTTTGAGGGGCAGCGATTCACATGCATTCTCTTCGTTGCCTTTTATCAACCTGCAACCTCAACAAAAATAGCTTATAACAGACATTTAAATGAATTCAACGTAGAAAGATTTAAAGGGAATTAAAAATATCTTTCAATCTCTTCAGGGAACCTCGCAATGTGTAGAAAGTGTTTTAAAAGAGCAAGAACTGCTCCCGTAAGGAAGTCAAAAATCATGATAAAATCCCATCACCATAAAACTTTGTCCCATCGGTATAAAACGAGGAGGCTGCTGAGCACGCGCTCGTACCCGTGTTCAGCAGCAGCTGTCAGAAAATGGCCCCCAGTAGAAAAGCACCCTCAGGTAGGCAGAAAACCCAGGAGTATTTACTAAGTGCGACCCAGATTCAGCTTTACACAACCCAAGGGCTGAGCCGCAGTGAGCGCCAGCTGCACCCAGACCCTTGCAAACACTGGGGTTTAGCAAGCACTTCGCTATCCTAAAAAAGCAAAATCCTTTCACTCCAGTTCCACACACACACCCCTCCTCCTGCGCAGACCACGAATCCAGGAGAGGCCTGAGCCGTGATTCCTTGGTATTTCTCTCTCCGACACCTCCACCTCAGTACAAAGAGCTAGGGAAGGGGATAGAAGTGCCCCACGCCTGTCAGCTGGTACATGTAAAAAGATAAAATTTTAGCCACGTAAGAGAGCTATTCAGAGCAGGGAAACGTTTTAAGAGACAGTGGTGTTAATAAAGCAGATGAGGTCACTAATGGGTGCCACAGAGGTAGCCAAGGCCTGACTGACCACACAGGCTTCGGAGAGGGCAACAGGCTTCACGATGGGGTGTCAGGGCTGGCAACCAGGGCTGACACAAGCCACGGAGCAGCCACGGCCCCGGGTGTGCTCTCTGCTGAGGCTGCAGCAGTCGCAGGATGCTGGCCAGCTTCCTCACAGCCCCGCGATGCAGAAGTAAAACTAATCCTTATTATTGCTAGTTTAGCTGAAGTCACACACCTAAACGCATCTTGTGACAACAGAAGCTGGTGCTGATGGTTTCCCCCTCCTGAGAGATTACAATTGTATAAAAGATAAAAAAAGAGGAAGAAAAAAAGGAAAAAAAGAAAAAGCAGGCACCAGGCAGGCAACTGAGCTCTGCTGGCTGTTTGCTGTCCTCAAAGGAAACCTCACACACACCATGCCAGCTGTAGAAGCCACTCTGCAGACAGGATACACAAGACAGACCACTCTGCAGCTCAGCACCTTCAGGAGGCCAAGAGGCGGGGGCCAAAAGGGGTGATCTGGGTAAGGACAGGCATTTTCTCTTTCACACTGCAAACAGCTGCCTAATCTGCATGGACTGTGCAAAGTCACTCGGCAACACTGGGTTTCTCATTTGATTCTTCACAGCCACTGCAAAGAGATAATTGCTGCTGAGGTTAACACCTAGTTCACAAGAGGAAGTCATAATTCACAGAATAGTGACCTACACCTCTGCAAAGATAAGCATCTCAGCCAAAAAAAGAACTAAGGCTTTTCCCCTTCATCCTCTGAGATGAGAAAAGAGTAGGAATAGCCCTGCTTCCATCAGAGACTAGTTTTCATTTTCCATCCTTACAAGAGAGCAGGAAGAGAGTGTAACAGGCTACCTGGGTGACATTCTGGTCTCCATTGCATCACCATCTGCTTAGCAGGTACGCAATGCATGCCTCAGCTAGGAATGATAATATAGATTAAAAAAAAAAACTAAAAAAAAATAAAAATCCCATGTCATTGGAACAACAATAGCGGAAAAGGGCGGGATGGTGCACGAACATCACCCCAGAACAAGCTTTCCTGTACATTGCATCCCAGAGCGGGGATCTCTGATGCTGGTTCCTCCGCTTCTTTCACACGTACCTGCTGGTGGAGGGAAGGGAAGGAAAAAAAAAAAAAAAAAAACCATCCTGTTCAGTGACAGGAGAAGCCAATGAAGCCAACAGCTTCTTTCCGTAGAAGAAACTAATTCAGGACAAGCTAATTTGCTCTAGTTTGACAATTGAAAGCCCATCTGTGAGAATACTGTCTGTCCTTTCCAAGAGCACTTGTGTGGCTGCAACACTGCTGGCAACCTCCCCTGAGCAGGGGATTCCTGTCCTCTTTCAAGCAATCTGGTTTTAAATAAGGAGCCGTCATTACTGCAGTGAAATTAATGAGATGGGATGTACCAGGAAGGGAGATGAATGTGAACCTTCTAGCTTAGTGGTAATAGTCAACTGTGATCTTAATTTTGTGTTCAATTAACTCTTCTGTGGAAACAGATCATGATGTCCATCCAGCTCTTCAGAGATAAAAGCCCACACCCCCTGAAAGCTCAGTACAGCTGGTACTTTCACTGCAGGTCCAGAAATGAATTCCAGTAGCCTGGAATATGGCTCTCCTCTCATGCCCTAGGCAAATCTTCCTCCACATTTGGGTTGAGGTACATGAGCCGTGCAAGGAGGAGAGCAGTGCTCACCGCATCCTGCCTCCCTACACTGCTGTGTTACACATCATTACCAAATCCCAAGGGAAAAATGAAACACCAGGGAACAGATTCTTCTTGTTAATCGCAAAGCACTCGTCATGTGATTCAGCCTGCAGATTGCGACCAGCGTGAGGGGTTTTGTTTTCGCTGCTTTTGAAAGAAGAGCTTGTTTAATGCTGCAACAGCATTTGCAGCAGCTCTGGGACCAGAGAGCATTCCTATCTGCTCCACATGGTTCTGAAAGATCGCTGTGCCCGTTTCTAAAACAGGGGCTCTGACTCAGGCACACCGCTGCAGGATGTTAATGCAAAAATCTGCAGTGGTTTAGGGCAGCTGGTCAGTCAGAGGAAGAGGGGAAAAAACCTAAGGATCACTCTTTCTACCCCAAAATGGAGCTTAAGGCCTTGAAATGCTCCATGCTGGAATCCAGGTCAAACTGTTTACACGGTGCCTGCTCTGGCTGCTGCCTCTTGGAAGGACTGTGGGGCCCACACGGCCATTCTGGCTGGAGTAGTTCCACCTCCTAATGCAAATCAGGGAAGGGAATAAGCACAGTTTGAAATAAAGTTAAAATAATCAGTCTCTCCAGATGCTGTCTGCAGCTGTTTGACAACCAGCTTCTACCATCTGCTGAGTCTCTTTCGAACGTGAAGACCAGCACTACAAGAAAAAACAGAGTTTAAGTGACTGGGAACAACTGTTCCCTCAAGGACACATTCAGTTTGAGTCCTCTCTTCATATGTCACAAGTTGACTGCGTGCTGCCACTTGCCGAGATGTTGGAGGTCTGAGACAATGGGGCAGGACTGTCCCCATCCTGCTCCCTGAAGGGCCATACCTCTCTCTTCAGCTCGGTGGAAGGACTAACACCGAACAGAGGCTTCGTAGATTCTGGTAGAGTATTTTTCAGTAGGTCATCTTCCACCTCCATCTCTTCAGAAGGGAGACAACCCACAAACACTTGTGAGGAGCCATGCCCCTCAGAGTTCACTGAATTCTCAGCTGGGAGCTTTTTGTAAGACAGTGGCTCAGGCTGGGCCAACGCTAATGGTTGGTTACATGCTGGATCTCCATGTGTATTCTCAACAGGGCAAAACCCATTTTCCTCCTGGGCCACCGGCCCATCTGAACAGTCCATATCCTCCTCTTGTCCTGCTACAGGAAGAAATTCTGGTCTGTGAGGCTTGGCATGAAAGGGGGGAATCTCTGACACACCATATTTACTGCTACTCAGGAGTTTTTGCCGAACTTCTGCACCTAGTTGGGCTGGGTCACACCTGCCAACAGTTGAAGAGAGTCCCCCAAACAGGCCATATTCCTTGTGCGGCAATTCAGGAGAGAGTGGAAGTGACCTGCATCGTCTCCTGGGAAGAAGGGAAAATTCCTGGCAGTCTGTGCTATACGCCTGCCGGAACTGGTGCTGGCTGGCTTTCAGGCCTCCACCTGCCTCTGGAGAATGCAAGTCAAACACAAGGGAGATCACAGACTTGCTTGGCATGTCAAAGAATTTGATCTTCCCCCCCTTGAGGTCCTCCCGGGCACTGAAGGGATTAACTTTCCGGCCTAATCCTTTGTTTGGCGTGTAGTAGGGGTCCTGCACGTTTATCTTCCTGGAAGGCTTGCGGGAGAAGATATCCGACTGGCTGCGTGACAACCAGATATTCCGGCGTGGACGAGGTGACTTGGGTGGGATCTTATCGTCCAGAGAACTCAAACGTTTTACTCCTGGTCCTTTTTCGATTGAACCTGAGTAGAAGAAAAGAAATACTCTTAGCTTAATGGAGCTATATACCTGCACAACTGTTAACTCAGAGAGCCTTCATGACAACTGTAAAGAAAAAAAGCTGCATTTTTGATGTGCCAAAGTATCTCCCATAAGTACATTTGCCAATTTCTTACAAGTTCTTGCACAAACACCAGGACACCATTCCCTTCTCCTCAGCGTATTATTGGTTTCAAACATGGAGATTTGTCAGCCCTGTCCACGGGACCCTTTTAAATGTAAGGCAGTCAAAACTACATTTAAAATATTCTCTACTCTTTACTCATGCCTCAGGCTAATTAAAAATCATCTTGAAGACTTGAGGAAATGCAAATTCAGTTAATGCCATCTTACTTCCCTAGGCCGTGAAACTAGACTGCTTCTTTATCATTTTACAATCAAATTTATCACCCACATTATGGGGGATACTAATTTGGCAAGATAATTGCCTTCAAAAAAAAAAAAAGGAAAGAAAACTACAAAAATTTGGTAGAAAGAAGGAAGTCTTTCCCTCTTCTATCCAAACCCTGTATTTTAGGGTCCCTTCGAGCCTCCTCCCTGCCAGCAAACTGACACAGCAGAGACAGCACAAGGTGATCTTAAGAACAATTTGCATGTTTCTAGATTTATTATCCTGGCTTCCAGCAGAGGTTGCCCAAGATCTCTTGATGATACTGACCATAAAAGAGGGCAAGTATAAAACATTATTATTGCCAAAGGAATCGGGACTTTTTCACCCTGATGGCAAAAGTCTAAGACCAAAATAAATACCCCTCCTGATACCATGAAGAGTTTAAATCATTCTATCCCAGGCTCCATTCTGTACATTATCCAATACAGAAACTAGGGATGTTTGATGGTTTGACTCTAACGAATAGGAGTTAAAAAGTTGTACATATGCATGTGGATTTATTTGCACACACACATATATAACTACAAAAATTTGTTGGAAAGAAGGAAGTCTTTCCCTCTTCTATCCAAACCCTGTATTTTAGGGTCCCTTCGAGCCTCCTCCCTGCCAGCAAACTGACACAGCAGAGACAGCACAAGGTGATCTTAAGAACAATTTGCATGTTTCTAGATTTATTATCCTGGCTTCCAGCAGAGGTTGCCCAAGATCTCTTGATGATACTGACCATAAAAGAGGGCAAGTATAAAACATTATTATTGCCAAAGGAATCGGGACTTTTTCACCCTGATGGCAAAAGTCTAAGACCAAAATAAATACCCCTCCTGACACCATGAAGAGTTTAAATCATTCTCTCCCAGGCTCCATTCTGTACATTATCCAATACAGAAACTAGGGATGTTTGATGGTTTGACTCTAACGAATAGGAGTTAAAAAGTTGTACATATGCATGTGGATTTATTTGCACACACACATATATAAGTAAATAAAAGCTGTATCACTAGAACAGGATGGAAAAATTGTAGTTATTTAGGAAAAGATGCTAACTCCTCAAGTGCTTGGAACATTTATCTGCCACTGGCTCTCAAGCTGGCCCTGAAAAGCTGTGGTAGAGTAATAATAAACTGATATAAAGAAGTGGTATCTCTTTTTGACTACCATAGCCAGAATAAGCACATTTCCACTTTTTCTTTTAAATACTGCGACAGTTTAGACCATAGTCACTTCACCTAGAAAAGCTGTGCAGGTCAAATAACAGCATGTAACACTTATCCAAGGAGATGCAAATCTGACAAGAACTCCAGAGGAAGATTGCCAGGCAAATGGAGGAGAAAAAAAACACCCCACAAAACAAACAAAAAACCTCAACACATAAAAATACCACAAACTCCACAACCAAACTCCAAACAAACATGATGGTTTGACTCTAACGAATAGGAGTTAAGAAGTTGTACATATGCATGTGTGCGTATTTATTTGCACACACACATGTATATGTAAATAAAAGCTGTATCACTAGAACAGGATGGAAAAATTGTAGTTATTTAGGAAAAGATGCTAACTCCTCAAGTGCTTGGAACATTCATCTGCCACTGGCTCTCAATCTGGCCCTGAAGAGCTGTGGTAGAGTAATAATAAACTGATATAAAGAAGTGGTATCTCTTTTTGACTACCATTGCCAGAATAAGCACATTTCCACTTTTCCTTTTAAATACTGCGACAGTTTAGACCGTAGTCACTCCACCTAGAAAAGCTGTGCAGGTCAAAGAACAGCATGTAACATTTATCCAAGGAGATGCAAATCTGACAAGAACTCCAGAGGAAGACTGCCAGGCAAATGGAGGGGAAAAAAACCCCCACAAAACAAACAAAAAAAACCTCAACACACAAAAATACCACAAACTCCACAACCAAACAAACTCCAAACAAACAAAAAATTTTCCTTTTTAACTCACATCTCTTTTTGATGATTTCCAGGTGTGGGAGCACTACCACATGCATGCAGTCCATGTGGTTTGCAATACAGAACTTATTTCAATCTATAATCACATTACAGATAGATATATATGTATATATATTGTGTATTTATATATACACAATATGAGAGACTATTTTTACTCTACCCTAAATTTCCAGTGCCAGAAGTCTAGTAACACAGAAGATATCTAAATCAGAATATGCCCCAGCCTACAAGAACTGCTTGCAATTTGCTCCCCACACCAGGTGGCACTAGATGGCTTCAGAGAAAGCCCTTCAAGGCCAGCATTCCCAAGCAGGTCTGGGATTCATCTTTTCCCCAGTCTTTCTGCGTATTTCTAGGTACTTTATAATACTCTTGCATCTTCTCTGCTCTTCCTCCTGAAGGAGTTTAAGAAGCTTCTAAGTGCTACATGTAACACACACCACAGAAATTATGTATATGCACCAAGTATGGCAGGGACAAAGCAAAAGTTGATGGATTTTCATATACTATTAGCAACTTACAAAACCATTCCCAAATGAACTCTAAATTTCCCCTCAAGAGCTTGTGGGCAGAATCTTTTGAGGCACTTGAAGAAACAGTTAGCTGTTCTTTCCCAAAGGACACTCCGTAGTGCAGAATATATAGCATTCTTCCAGAATAATTTTCAGGCTTTGAATAAAATCATTCATAAGCTGTAAATAATACCATATATAGCTGAAATCCTAGTCTTAAAAAAATGAAGCATCGTACCCTCTTGCTGTTAGTCTGCAGCAATGTTTGTACAATACAGACATTTACCTTTGGGTTTTCTTTCACTGTTGTCAAGATTCAGAAATTTTCTCTCTCTGTCCGAGTCCTCATTTCTCAGGCGATTTAAAATCTCCTCCAGTGTTTTGACAATATCAGCAAATGAAGGACGCAACTTTGGATCCATCTGTGAATGCACACAAATCAAATAAGCTCACGTGGGTTTGGTCATGCTATTCTGCTCACACAGTGGACAGACAGAGGGACAATCTGAAGGAACCGAGGAAATTCGAGACCATTTTAAGAAGTATGTTGTCATTGCAAAAAAAACCTAAGTAAAGCAGGGGGTAAGTAGTATTCTGTCCCAGTTTACATCTATTATACCTCTCACATTTAACTATCAAGTTGTAAACATTCTATGATGAGGAGGCATTTTCAATTGAAAAGGTGAGCAGCTGTTAGATTCAGGGCTTCAGAGATGGTTTTGTTTGTTTTAAACAGTTTTCATAGTTCAAGGATTTATTTCTGGACCCAGTTATCAGTCAGAGATTATTTGTCAATGTTACTTCAAAACGTGCCTGAAGCAATAAGGATTAAACAGAGCAACTTGCTATGTCATTCTTTAGAAGTTTGTAATTCTTCCATCATCTCACTTTAACTTTAATTAAAACCCACCTAAAAGGCATTGCTGATTTTAAAGTTTAAAATGTTGTATCTTTGCATTTTTTAATTAGCCTTACTACTTGGCATACTGGTCTGTCTTGTGAGGAAGCAAAATTAGTTATATAATTCGACAAAGTAATACGATAGAAAAAAGAAAATCCATCTTTGCCCAAGTAAAATACTTCCCTCTTCCCCCAGTCATCAGTAGGTATTCAGTTTGTATTTATCAATACATATGTATTTATTCACCCTAGTAGAAACGAATCTCTAAAAGTTCAAAACTAACATCGTACTACAGGGAAAGCAGCTTAATTTTATTAGTAACTCAGAAGGCATTTCATCATTTTGAGCATTGACTCTGTATACATGTTACAGGTTTAACTCCTGTAGGCAGCAATGTCTAATTCAGCAGCTGAAAGTTAACCCCATTACACTATTAAAAAAGATTCCGCTTGACCTGATTCCTGTTTCCAGCTCTCTAAAGGCTTTTTCAGAGCAGACAAGCCCAGACAGATCTCACCTCTAGTACAAAGGGAACAGTGGTGCTTTGTAAAGAAAAAAAACCCCAAAGACCTCCCTGATACTGCCTTGCAGGTCCTACCAGATGAATATTTCTGAAGAGAACTGGTATGATCAGCAATGCCAGAACAGCTTCGAGCAACACCGGGTAAAGGGCTAAAAACTCATATGTACAGTAATAAAAAACAAACAAATCACACTTGAAGAGCTTAAGAGCAGCAAAAAAGTTGTCCTAATGCAGCAGTTGGAATTTCCTGGCATAGGAAAACATCTTTTTCAGCTTTCCCTGTTTCACTGAAAGTGTAGAGCAGGAGCAACAAAGCACAACCTTTGTCCTCCAGCACACTTAATAATTTGGAAAGCTTAGAGAGCTGTTGCATGCTACAGAAAACAAGAGCAGCTCTCTCGCTATTTTGGTTTGTGCCAGGTAAGATCCAGGACAAGAGCAGCAATGGAAAAGTGACTCAGAGCAACATTTGCCTCTTCCATCCCTGAGCAGTCTGGATTCTGCTCAAATGGAATAGAAGGTTCTTCCTCAAGGCAGCAGCTGCCACAGCTCAGCTCATTTTGGGAAGCTTTTTGCACGATCATACACGATTATGGTTTGCAAGTATTTGCACAAGTAGGCTTATAGTTGTTGGAGAGCCGTAAGTTTTAGACGTCTTTGAATGCATTTATTTGAAAAACACCTTTTTAAAATTTGCTGTTATAAAATTTTAATCCACTACTCATGCATTTCAGTTTTTACCGGTTTTCTTAGGTTGCCCTAAAGCACGTTTCCTGGCTGTAGAAAACCCCAGGCTTTGCACATTACTTCAGCTAATCAGCTGAGCTCTAGAGTTTACACTATTTGTTGACCTATTAAATAATAAAAAGCTATATAAACATCCATGCATAAAAGCAAATTATCACACAGGTCACCTATTATTGAAGCACACCATGCTCAGGAAGATATAAGAAAGCCTTATCTGCTCACCACCTTTTTCCTTCTACTAGGTAAGTGGCAAGTGAATTACAGCACGCTCCACAATGAAATCAGCATATTAATGGCTTGATCACAAGACAGTAATTTCCACTTTCAATTCAGGGAAGGGACATTTATTATACAGGAAGCAGCATTTGACAATAACCAGTAGGAGAAAATCCTTTTTCTCTTAACGCACAGAATTCTTACATGAGAATATAAGCTCAGTCACTTTCCCTTTCCTCATGGGAAATTCAGTTTTACTCTGAATTTCACCCGTGATGAAAAATGGCTTCGAATCATGCACCATGTGTTTGGATCCAGTACGATTTCTGGAGCCTACAGGCAGGAGCCAAGATTTCCAAAGTCAAATCCTACCTCTAGGCAAACCCTGTAGTGCTTACGTAGTTAAAACCCTTCATAAACATGAGTCAGATCTACCACTGTCCTGGTGACGCAAGCCCCACTGTACTAAGATGGCAACAGAGGAGTATAGTAGCTTGTCCAGAGTAAGTTCCACAAACATCTTAAAAATTAATTTAAGCTATCTTGTGTCAAGAGCAGCAGTCACCCCACCTGCTCACATCCTCACCTTTATACCACTCTCCCCTTGAGCGAGCACGTGCATTTGTACTAATACAAAGAGAGAGCTTGGGGCAAAAATAAGCATCAAGAGCATGGAGAGATGAGACCGCTTCTTCCAGCAGCAGTGTTGACATGAAAACAAAGCCTGAAAAATCAGTAACAGACAGGAATAAAAAGCCCGTCTGAGAGTTTCCTTACACTCATTTGGACACAGTGCTGGTATTGGCTCCAGCACGGCCTGGTTGTGGGGTCCCAGGCAACATTTTGTGCAGTAAAATTTTCAGAACTTGCCTCAACTAAAGTTGTCCCAACTGGACATTTCCAACTTCAGCTGAATTTGGTGGGAGCTCAGGTTGTCTTTCTTCATATAAATAGGTTTACTATACAAAGGTACTAGCAACCTCTGTCATGGGATAATGCACAAAATAGATCTACTTCCCTGGAATTTTCACTCTGAGGAGCCATGAAGGTATCCAGCAAGCACTATCAGAATTTTACTTGAAAAATTGGCAGAATATTTACTCCATACAGCACATTGCCTATAGCCTTACTGATAATAAATCATTTGGGTCCAAGTTAGGGGTTTTTTGGAACACGGGCTAGGGATTTGGAGGTTTATCCTGCTTTCCAAAAGGCAGCATATAGAAACTTGAGAGTAGTTTCACGCCTGCTCTTGATTTGTTTGTCCCCTCTGTTTGTGAGAACAACTCTGAATTCTTTTTTCACAGCTCAGTAGGTCTGTACACAATAACAGCTGGATTTTGTCAGCCCGAGGGCCAGCCAGTGTCAATAGCATACAACTGGTTGTGATCAGCCTGAGCAGCCTGCAAGAAGCTGTTCAGTTTGCCAGACCTGTTTGTTTGGCATGCCAGAACACAGAATTGCAAAAACACAAGATAGACCTTTTTACAAAGGGGAAGAAAGGATTATAAAAACTGCAAAAGACTTTCTGGTTTATCAGAACATATGCTGCTTTTATAGGTAGGCTCTTCAAGTCTCCTCTGTAAATGCTTTAAGCTGTATCTTCAACAGCCAGAGGGATTCAGAGAACTCCAGTTTAGGCCTCTTCCCTTGAAGTAAGATACTCACATTACAGCAGTTGAAGGCCAGCTGGAGGAAGTCAGGGGGACAGTCTCCCACCATGTGCTGGAAGGCATCGTAATCTAATCCAAAATTCTGTACAAACAAAAACACAGCATAGAGATATAAATGAGGTCTGCTATCTGGCGCAAAACATCTTATTTTCAGGGTGTTCCTACGTGGGGTTATCAGGAATAACCAGGAACACCATCTCTCAGCAGCCACATACAGAGGATTTTGATAAAACTCCATGCACACTCCGAACTGCAGCATCCCAATGGGGATTACTTGATACAAGATACCTGTAAGAGAATGAGCTGACTTCAAAGCCCATCCTTCTTCCTGAACTCAACTGCAATCCATTGCACTTGAAATGTTGCCCATGTGGATCTGGAAGCAATATCCTATACTATGATGTTTTGCCATGGTGGCTTTCACAGTGTAAATTAACAGCCTGCTATAAAACTAAAGGCTTTGCTATGATGACAATTTGCCAATTAAAACAGTTAATTTTTCAGTGGATGGTAGACTGGTCATACAAATTATCTAGTTCCTTAAGTGCACTTCTGCAAAATCTGAGGGACGGCAAAACAAACCGATCTCTTATTTACTGCAGTTGAAGACCTAAGCAATTTTGCATTTTCAGAACCGGAGGGAAACAGACAATTTGGAAGACGCGCCCCCCAAGTAGAGGCAAAAAGCTGCCCTGCAGATGGTACTCAACCAAAAGGCAACTGAGGAAATTAACAAGTATCTTGTTTGATCAGTGGATTCTAGCTCAGATCCACAGAGCTTAGCACAGTCTATGCAAAAATATGGGTGAGCTTATTTTAGCTGCTGCTAACATAGCTCCTGCCCCTTTCACAAGGAGAGGCTGCTTAGTGGATGCAGTGTGCCAAATGTGCTCTGTTCCGAATCTGGCAAGAACTCTACATGAGCCATCACTACAAAAGGAAGGTGACTGCAATGCTCTCAATGTCCTGCTAGTTAGGGGCAGAAAGGATTTCCCATGAGGACTGCAGCTGGACAAAATCTGTGTGAAAGTGTCTTCGATGAAGCTTCTTATAATAACAGCACAGAAGAATAAAAGCCTTTTACAGGCTATTTTTAATGTAACACCTATTCATTGTATCTTTGGCAGCAGTGCCAGAAGTTCTAAAGGCCAGCCATTATCATGGCACACTTACCACCTCCCACCAACGTTATAGATGTGACCACTTACCTCTGTGCGAGGGAGATAGTCTGGATCTGCCTGTATTCTTGCTATAATTTCACAAAGAATTATACCATAGGAGAATACATCCGCCTGAAAGAAAAAAAAATAAATAGCCGCACGGTTCAGCTATGAATACTCAGCGTTCTTATCTGCAACTGAGTTTCTCCTCACCCCAAACTGTTATCGTGAAACAACTAGACCAACACCACAGGGTTACAACACTAAGCAATTGCATTATAGCTAACATTTTCCATGTGAAGAAACACATGCTCACAGTAAAGCAATGCATTCTTGTTGCACAAATAGCAATGATAACTTTAAAACTCTTTCAAGAAAAAAAACCACCAAACCACTCTTAATTCAGCAGTGTAAAAAAAAATAAAAATAAATCCTTCCTTGCATAAAGAATGGCAAAGTTGCATTTGATGTCCTACAGATGGGAGTAATTAAAAACATAGCCAAAAACATGACACATCTATATATCACTGTAGTTAGAAAGATGGGTTTAGAATACACATAAACACAGCTTATCCAGAATATTAATGCTGTTTTTAAGAAAAACTGCATTTTTCTCTTCTCACTGTTCAGCACCTCTGGAGAAAAGTTTCTTTCCCAAAGCTTGAGATATCTAGTAACACTATATTCCAGCATCCATTTCCACTGCCATTCCCATGACACATAGTAATCACTTATCTGACTACCCCTGGAGCTGCACAGTTGCTCTGATTTCCACCCACCTGAATTTATCATGTAATAAAATTTAGGAAAACATGAAATACAAGTCTACAGAGCAGAAGCTGGCATCCCTCATTCCTTAGATATCAGGCAGGCTTATCTCTCACCTTTCATGCGGATGAGGTATGAGATCTGTTTCCTCTTTAGTCCTCCATGCCCTAGGGTTAGTGAAGAACGTGGCACCACAGATTCGAGTGCTTTATTATTAATTTAGGTCAACTGGAACTCTTAGCAAAGCTTTGAAATGGTAATTATTACGTTCATTACTGAGGTAGCTACTGCTTTCCAGAAAGTTAAAAGTACCACCAATTAAACCGACTGTTGACTGCTAGCTATAAAAAGGTACAGGATGTGGGCTTTATCACAGAGAAGCTGCATTTGCAGGTCTGAAGTAGACTATGTTACACGTGGGAGAGAAAACCTTGTGGTAAAGAGCTTGACTGAAAACGCTATTTCTAAAATACAGTGTGAGCTGATTCTCCTTTGGAAAAAAAAAAAAACATTTCCCAATGCCATAAGCAGGAAAACTTATAAATACCTTCAGAGAACATTTTTATCCAGGTATCTTACCTTGAGAAATTTTGATATATTTCTTTTTCTTTTTTTTTTTTTTAATTAAAATACTTGTACAAGTTTACATACAGACCTTTTGCTTCTACCCAGATTACACTAATATATGGGTCAGGGAAGCAACCTTACCACATTTCTCATGAGACTTAGTTAAATTAAGTTGTGTTAGGTCAACAATCTATTATTATGCTTCTGCATGTGAGGTGTTTCAGAACGGAAACAGTGTAACAGTGAATTATTCTAAAGGTAATTCTATTTCTGTATAAGAATTCACACCATGAATTAAAAATATTACTTATTCAACTCACACACTCCCTTAATCTGAATGACCTACTGAGTACAGAAATGTGACAAATGAAAGTAACGATTTTATTATTATGGAAATTCTAAGTCTTGTATAGAGCTATTGAAGAGAAATATCAGACAATTAAAGTCCATTTGTTTCAAGTACCTACCTTTTCATTATAAGGTTCATCTCTGAGAACTTCTGGTGCCATCCAGAAGGGTGAACCCACCACTGGTAACTTCTCACTATATGGATGAGGGATGGATGGCAGGAAAGGGGAGAGGGGGGTGGAGGAGAGAGAAAACCAACATTATTAAATGCTCCAATTCAGACATTGCTACTACCTTTCTGTAACTCCAAATATCTGCAGAAACTTTCATCAGACAGAAGTCAATACAAGTGGGTTTCATAACACACTGTATTTTACACTGGTTTCCTACTGGACTCACTGCAACACTCAACAGCAGGAGGAGAAGTGAAAGAAAAAGAGTTCAATCAGTTACTCATATTTTATTTCCAGTTTCTAAGTGCCTGGCCACTCTTTTAAAAAATATTATTTTATTAGAAGGTCACAAGTGTTCAATAGTTTTGCCTTCCAAGCTCTTGGCAGAGTGGGCTCCTTTATCTATACATTTAAAGGTCTGTGGACATCAGGTTTGGGCTACATGTCAAGTTCTCCATTCATGCAGCAAGACATGCAGGTATCCATCCCTATATGTATACCGATAAGCAACTCATGAAGAATTAGGCACAGCCCGCTTGCAAACTGTTTTTTAGAAGGAAAAAAAAAGTCAAGATTGACCAGATAAATCCTATAACAGGGAAAAATGAAAAGTAATCAAAATAGAGCCAATTTGAAAAAAATCACTGTTTCCATATGGCTGAATAATGGGGTCTTAAAGCAAGGCCTCCAGCTTGCCACCCCAGCTGACTTCGAAGGAATACCTATTAAAAAAAACCCAGGCTTCTGAAGGCCTCAAATAGCATGGCTTGCTGGCCAGCAAACTGAAAACAACCAAACTGCATTTGAAAATGGAGGTAAAACTAGATCAAACCAAAATGGTGGTTAAATGTAATAATTTTATTATGTTGATTGTTTTAGTATCAAGTTACTTTAGCTTTAGCTATTCCACTTCCAGAATCCAGGGCACCTCAAAACTGGGTATTAAGAACTCCTTAAGGCACCTGTGGGGCCTTCCCAATTTTGTGATGGGTTCATATGAATGGAGCTGAAGCTCTCAGCACCTTAAAGGGCAGAGACTCCACAGGAGTGAACATTGACTGTGCTTACCAGTAATGTGGAAATTAAAATGTTCACTCTATTAAGCTTTTACATCAATATTTCATCAAGATTAATGCAAGCCTTCAGACCTCCCAAGATACGGTTTTAGGATATGTACAGTTTAAAAACCACAAGATCAATTTTTATTGCTTTCTTTACAGTCAAAAGAGCTGGAAGGCTTTTATTTATTTTACGCAGAAGCAGACACTGGAGAAAATCTGACAGCACGTTTCACAGTCAGAATACTCTGAAATACACAAGTCAATATACAGAGAGAACAATGAAATTCTTGTCCTTGATCTCCCTAATGGAAGGATGACAAAAGGACTTTTTCTAGTTGTGACAATGCTTGTGACAGTCACCTGTGCATTCCTCAAATGAGTTAAGATTATAATTTCATCCAGAGGGAGCAAAATGGTGAGCTACTGTTAGACAGTAATTTTAGTATCTCTTTGTTACAAACCTGGATCTTAACAACTAACCCAGAGGTTAAAGAGAATAATACTGGAATGCCACTGAATATTGTTTATGAAAATGGAAAGAATCTAATTATAAAATCACCCCAATCCAGAATGCTGGACAGTATTTTTGTGTTTGCTTTGTTGTGGTTGTTTTTCAAAATTCTCAAGCACCTACTTAGAAGATCTACTGAAAAGCTTAAGTAAACCCTCTACTCACTGGAGCATTTTTGAAGAATAGATGTCACTACTAAACCTATCAAAATGGACAGTAATTAAGATCAAAACGTTTTGGTCATCCAGACTGCAGTTCTAGACTTAAGACTGAGAATATTTTTTGCAAATTCTGTATCAGAATGCAGTACTGGCTTCAGGGATCTGGCTCAGAGGTTCTGACCTGCAATGGCACTGCAACTCCTGTGGTATTTCGATTAGCTCACGTACCTGTGATCTGGAATTTTCTCTGCTAAACCAAAGTCTCCCACTATGGCTGAATATCCGTTCTCATCGTGTTTTATTAAGCAGTTCTGGGGAAAAAAAATCAACCAAACAAACAACAGAAGAGTTATTGTCTGAGCATGAAACCCATATACCATTTTGTTGTACTTTTAATCTGGAACAAGACTACAAGATATCATTTGGAAGACATTCATCTGTGAGCAGCTTTTGTCTGAAAGCTACCACCCTTTTCCCCTTCCCTCCCCCCTGCACAATCACATGTCTGTCAAACTTAAGATGCTGCAAACAGCCTTACACTTAGTTAATAATCCACTTAAAAACTTGCTGAGAAAGCAGGCAGCCACGGGCAGCACGTATCCAGCTAGGTTCTAGCAAGAATTAAGATGATTTAGCTCCCTTGCTGCTAAGTATGCAATACATGCTGTTCACTATGACACCTTAAATTTTCTCTTTACAATTTGCCTGTACCTGACCAGAATACACGAGCAGAGCAGATGCTAAATGCCTTTGTATGTTTTGCTACATTAACTACTGAAAAGGAACTCACTGCTTTGCAGTAGATTTTCATCAGAAAATAAAAGATGTGACAAAGTTATACGTGCTTTTAAATTCCCAAATAAAACTCTTCATTCTACACTAGAGCATAAAATATGATTTAAGGGAAAAGTCTAATAGCTGTCAATCCTTTCCTTTCAGATGTACCCTCCAGTGTCAGGAAAGAGGGCAATTTAAGGACACACACAGATAATTCTGATCTGGTAGCATCACGTCACACACAGGGTATTGTTGATTTATTTTTGTTATTTATTTACAACTCTGAGAAACATGCTTTGACCATTCCAGTACCACATCTTTTCCCCTCTCACCGAATGAATCAACAGCTGACTTCCCTAAATTTTTTTTTCTGTCCTGCAATAGGTGGAGCAAGACAGAGAATTCATTCCTTTACCACATGCCTTGGTCCGTATCATTCTGCAGGCAGTACAATAGCAGTGACAGGCAGCAAAACCGCTGCCGACTCCTACAGAGTGGTACCCTGCATTAATTAGCTAAACAGCAGGAAACACTTTCTAGCTTTATTGTGCTTGGATGTAAAAAAGCTCCTCGCTGACCCCAGAGCATTAGCTTGTCTGTATAATGCAGCTACCAAGAAAAGTGAGTCCCTTGTCTAAAAGATCAAGTTCGGGTCATCCCTGTTTATATTATTCAGAGATGATTGTGGCTCAGGCCATGAAGTGAGTTTTATTCCTGCCAATTAAAAGGTTAAACAAGCCACTCCTGCGATCCTGTAAAGAAAATGCATGCCAGCCTCTTGAAACACAGACCAGGCTCCTGAGATGCAAAGTTCGATTTGTTTAGCATGACTCAAGTAAAATAAGTACAGTTAGTTTGTGGATTCATAAACATGTACCAAGTTAAATCAGCCATGCTCGCCCAAAAAGCAGCAAAGCTTCTCAGTTACGGGCTTTGTTATCTTTTCTCAAAGAACACATTCATTCAGCTTGCCTCTGTTTGAACATTTGGTCACTATAAGTGGACTTAAAACTGAGAAGGATAAAACTTTTCTGAAAAATCTTACTCAAATGATTCAGACAAATGGAATTCCATTGTGTACCACACAGAAATAAGCCTATGAGGACACCAGAGGTTTTGCAGTCTACAAGAATGCTGATACTAGCTTACCCAGCAAAATATCAAGTTATTTTCTGCCATAGATTTCTCAGCAATTAAAGATGATTCATAATTCGACATTTAAAAAAAAAAAAGAACACCTCTCTATGATTCATAAAAGAACTAGTTTTAAGAGCTAGATTTTCTTCTTGCATCACATTTGACAATTAAAATTTTATTCATTTTGAGTAACAGGACTGCTGAAGTTCATTTTACCTTGTGGGTTTTGTGGATTAGGGTTATTCTCCAATAACCCCATGTCTCCAGAATTTCAGGGGAGCATTTAAATCCTGACTAAGAACTATTTTCAAAACAATTTAAAAACTGTAGAGACAATTCTACTGGCCTTACGGTCTGCGATAATTTACGTGGCTGCTTTGATACCAAAAGGAGACTTAAATGCAACATCAACCTGCAGGCAAATTTTCCTTCAGCTTCTTACCAGTATACAATCACATCCCATTAGACAGCAATACATCACCAACTGGAAATGAACAATCTTACCCCCCCACACCAAGCCCCAGGCAGTCTCAGCTCTCAGGTACAGCACTGAGCTCTTATACAAGTACATTATTCCTATGTAAATCATAAATTAAACCAATAGCACATCCAATCTAGCTGCCAAGTAATGCTACCTGACAGCTCTGAGCTCCTTCCTGGAGAAGCAAGGGCTGCCTGCAACAAAGCCAGGCTGCCTTTCCGTGCAGGCTTTCGAGAAATCAAACAGAGCGGACATCCCACCACCGTGGGGCCCAGAGGTCCTGCAGGAGAGGCCAGGACACCACGACAAGGCACCAGGGGAATGCCTAGGGCAACATTTCTGCTATTAAATACTGATCAATTGTTCTGCTGTAATGGGCTGCACAATGTTAAATGACATAAAGAAGGAAGCTAAACTATTCTCTCTCATTAGTGGAAGCTTGTCTTTTGTCTGCATATGAAGAAGTGCTGAGTGTGAATTTAAATTCATTAGGATACGTACTCCAGTACAAGAGTGACTTTTTTTGCTCACACTTAAATCTGCCATAGGCAGGTTACATGCACCAGACAAAAAAAATACCAGTGTCACTATAAATGCCCATTGCAGCGAAACTAAACCGATTTAATTCAACTGGTGCAGATTTTTATGTAGCTAAGCACTGATTTCCTGGAACCCAGAAAGGATGGAAGCCTATTCCTACTAAAATCAGTAGTAAACCCCTTCTACAGAAGCTAGCGTAGTCAGTTGTCACCTTTCAAGCCTGTCCTGAATAAGCAGTACAAAGCTTTGCAGATGGTGATGCTTCATTCTGTGCTGAGCTTCTCCAAGTGTTAAGGGCCAACCTTCAGCACCACCATACTCCTCCCCTCCACCCTTCCCACCCCAGTAAAGCCATTACACAACACTGCACCAAACCCACAGCACAGTTTATCGGATTTAAGATGCAATTCATGAAAAGGTGATTTAACACAGCCCACAGTAACTGGTGGTTCACGTGCACTCAATGAAGACATTTCTGAGCATTCACAATCTACTGCCAAGATAAATCAGGATCAAAAAAGGGACAAAGCTTCATTAGAGATTAAAAGGTTGAAAAGAGCTTTTAAACTTAAGCTAGTGGTGGTATCTTAGTCAGAAGAGTACAATAGAGCATACTGCACTGTTTCTACTGACAAAGGGATACTTCTCCATTTCTACAAAAAAAGAAAGTATATGTATCAGTTTGGTAGGAAGAAGTTTAACTAATGGCTTTTGGGACAGAGGCATAAGAGTTCAAGCCCCTCTCTAGTCCAAAAAGCCTCTTGAGAACTGTCTATGAGATGAAATGCCAAACAGCTCTATAACATAGGCTTTAAGAAAATGCTTTTGAGTTACTATTGCACCATTTGTAAAAGCTGCAAGGCAATAAACCATGCTGACCTTCTCAAGCTTTCTCTCTGGACCTCTCCAGACAGGGATGTTCTTTCCTTTGGCAGCTGACGCTGTCAAAGAGGGCAATATTTGACTTCAGTTGGGTCCTTGAAGGTTTTTTTTTCCCTGAAATGGGGACCCCATGCTTCCTTCTTGAGGCAGTCTCTTAACAGAAGCAAAGAGCTCTGTACATGAGCCCTAAAGAGTTAACAGAGCTGTTTATGCAGAGACAGATGTGAAAGAACATAAAGCCCCCTTTGTGTGTTACAGGAGCTTAACATCTGCTTTGCACAGCATAATCCTACTAAGACGAAAGCAATATTCTACTCTCCCTTTTACATCAACAATAATGAAAATAGACTCAAGAGTTTCAGAGTTAAAAATAAGTTGCTTAGATGAAGAAACCCCATCATTTCATTTTACAATATGACATACAAGCTAAACGCCTCAGAGATTTTATTGCGCTCCAGAAAATAGAGGAATGCTACTGCAGTATCATTTGCAACCCTCTGAATAACTGTTACTGAATTAAAATCTTAAAGGCCAATTGAGATGGATCAGCTGTTTTTAAAGTGCTTTTCTCTAGGAGAAACACCATTGACAATTAAATGTACAACAGGAAGTTTACAATACTAGATATGCTTTTGAAACTAAACCCATTATGTTTAAGGGACAGGCTCCATTTGAGTCCCAAAGTACCAATAAAAGTTTAGTATTGCGACTATCATTAGAAATAATCATCTGTAACAGCTAATTTTTTCAATGCAAGCCCTTTCCTGCAGCGCCAAATATCCAGGCGAGAGCTTACTGCAGCACAAAGGGGACCTTACAACAGCAGCAGCAAGTATGAGATTCATCAGACAAAGGTTCTGTTCATTGCTTGGGATTTATTTTGTTTTATTTTGTGTTAAACAAGCAAACAGCATACAAGGTAGGAAGTCAGGGTATGTCACTTTCAAGCCCAAAGGCAGTGAATTTATGTTACATCAGATATTCCACAGTAATTGCTTACATGCATGATTCTGTCCCATTGTAACTGAGACTACTCCTCTCTCAATGAAAGAAGGGTGAGCCATTACACATTTACTGTGAAGTGAAAGCATATGTTGGCAGGAATACACACACATGTGTGCATGTGTGTATATATATTTTTTTATGAAAAAAGGCCTAGAGATTACAATTTCTTCATAGATTTTATCATCAATGGAGCTCACAATGTTCCCTAAAACTGCTCACAACCTGCTGTTGATTATAAGACCTTGTTTTCAACTATACATAATTCTGCTAAACTAAAAGGCATTTGTTTTGGGGGTTTGCCTGTTTGTTTTTAATCAAGAGCTTTGGTAGTGGTTTTTTGGGGAGGGGACTGTTCAGCTGGGACAGCTCAGCTGCGTAGGAGAACAAGTTTCAAATATGTATTATAAGTAAATTTTGAAATAATGACAACAAAAAAAATCCTCAAAATTATAAGCCTACGGTGTGATACCCTGATTTGGCACATTCTCA